CAGACAAGAAAAGAAAGAAGAAAAAGCAAGAAGAAAAAACGAAAAAAACGTATCGCGCCTGTGCGTGAATAGAGGCACCACGCGGCGGCCTGTCTCCGCCTCCGCCTCCTCCTCCTCTGCCGGCGGCCGGATCACGCCTGAGGCCGTCCCGGCGGCGTGAGTCGGGGAAGGGAGGTCGGGCGGGAAGGAAGAGGCGGGAAGGAAGAGGCGGGCCCGACTCCTCCGACTCTCCGCGCAGAGGTGGGGGGCAAGGGCAGGGTTAGCGGGGTGGGCAAGGCTCGGCCTCCGCGCCTCCGCCGCCAGCCCCTGCACCACGACCCGCTTGTGCACGCGCGCGCCGTCGGCGACGGCCACCATCGCCGTCTCCTCGCAGAAGCGCTCGTCGGTCGTGCTCAGCCGCAGCTCCTCCAGGCAGAGGAAGAGGTAGCAGCCCTGCGCACCGTCTCCCGCCGCGGCGGCCTCTCCCGCGCCCGACCCCTCCGCCGCGTCGCTGCTGGCAGAGGCGCCGCTCTCGCCCGCCCTCGCAGAGCACCGCGCCGCCCCCGCGGGCGGCGGCGGAGGCGCCGGCGCCGCATCGCCGCCGTCCGCCCCCTCCCGTAGCCGCACCCGCACCCGCTCGACGCGCAGCCGCATGTTCTCCACCGCACGGTGCAGCGGCAGCCAGTCGCGCGGCGCCTCGGCGGCGGCGCCCGCTGCCGCGGCCGCCTCCACCTCCTCCCACCCTAGCTCGCTGGCGATGTCGTCGCCCCCCTCGCAGCCGCCTTCTCCGACCTCGCCGCCGCCCTCGCCGCCGCCGCCGTCGCCGCCGCCGTCGCCGCCGCCCTCGCCGCCGCCCTCGCCGCCGCCCTCGCCGCCGCCCTCGCCGCCGCCCTCGCCGCCAAGATTGCCGCCATGCCGACACGCTTCGGCGCCGGCGCCGCCCAACACTTGCCCTCCGTCCTCCTCCTCCTCCGCCTCGAAGTACTCGTCCTCATCCTCGTCCTCCGCCGCCGCCGCGCCGCTGGCGAGGCGCGCCACTGCGTCCGCCACCGCACTCACCAGCGCCCTCTCCGCCCGCGAGGCGAGCCCACCCTCCTCCTCCAGCCCCTCCTCCGGCGCCTCCTCCGGCGCCTCCTCCGGCGCCTCCTCCTCCTCCTTCTCCGCCCCCGCTGCCGCCGCCTCCGAGAAGCGAGGGCGCAGCTCCTCCTCCTCCTCCTCCTCCTCCTCCTCCTCCTCCTCCTCCTCCTCCTCCTCCTGCTCCTCCCCCAGTACGGCCTCCTGCACCTCCCCCGGCACCGCCTCGTCCTCGCCCTTCTCCGCTGCGGCGCCCGCCCGCAGTGCGCCCGCCTACTCACAGCCAGCCGCATGAGCAGCGCCCCTCGACCCGCCACGGAGAACAGGACGGCCTGCGCCGGTGCACCGCCGCTCTCCCGCGCTGCAGCAGCGTCTCCGTCCGACCTTGGCTTTCCCGCGAGCAGGCGGCAGTCGGCCCACACGTCGTTCTGCGGGAAGGGAGGAGGCTGAGGACCTGCTCGGGCCTCGCTCGGGCCTCGCCGCGACTCTCTCTTCCCGCCACTGCCACTCTTCCCGCCACCTATCTTCCCGCCACCTCTCGTCTCTAGCGCGTACCATCTCGATTCTCCACGGCTCCGAGAAGAGGCCGAGGTCGCCCCGCAGCCGCAGCGTCACCGTCACCGTCGCGCTCCCTATCGTGAGCGGGGCGTTGCCGCCGGCGCCTTTGTCCTCGCCCTCCTCGCCGCCCGCAACACCAGAATCCGACACCAGGATCCAGCCGACGCGCGCGAGCGCAACGTTGAAGACCTCGGGCCGCAGCACCAGGTTCCGAATCACCGCCGTGGCAGGCGCGCCGTCGCCACTCGTCACTTCCACCCACTCGTAGCTCACGCACAGCTGTCTCAGCACACGCCGGAGCGCAGCCTTCCATGTCCGCTCACTCAGCTTGCGCGTGGTCCATGAGAGGCCGCGCGAGGCGGTAGCCGTGGCCACCGCTGTTGCGCCGCGCACCAAGCCGAGGACCGACGACATTGTATATGCCAGTCCGATCCGGTCAAGGCCGGCTTCCGCGATCCGGTGTGTCTGGAGACTTGTTCACAGCCTTGAGTAGGCAAGGAGAGTTGGAGTATTTCACAGTATTTCCAGTATCCCAGTATCTGAGGTGCTGTGGCGCAGTATTCCAGTATTTCAGACACGCAAAGCAAGTATTTTTATTGCAATACGGCATGCTACTGCACACGGCCCTTGGCCAAGTATCCCAATATCCCGCAAGCGAAGGCCAAGTATCGGTGGCGCAAATACCTCTCTGCCGCGAGGGTGATACTGCAATACTGGGCCTGGGGCATGCAGATATTGTGTCACTGAAGTAGTGTGGCCATGACAGTATCGCGCAGTATTTTCACCGCATTACTCGGAGCCGGCGCATCGGATACTGGGATACTGCAGGATACTGCGGGATACTGCGGGATACTGCTGGATACTGCTGGATACTGGCAATTCATGGAAGTGTGCCCGTGTGTAAGCCATGGTCCAGCAGCCAGCTGCATCCCCATCCTTCTCACTGGTAGCTGTCACCATGCAGCTGCACCCCTCCCTAGAGCATCCCCGGCTGATGTGGATACCGGATACTGGGATACTGGGATACTGCGGACCGGCTTGGGCCACAACTGTCGCAAGTGGGCTGTGGTGATGGCAGGCGTTATGTGATTGTTCCAGAGTGCATCGGCAGGAATTGTGATGTGTGGAAGCTCACGAGTTCTCCGACTGCCGCTCGACAGTCCGTAAAGAGCTCGTATCCGCTGCCATTTCTGCCGCCGAGCTGAACAGCGGCGGTGAAGCACGGCCGGCT